TAGTGACGACGCCTTACGCCGGCGCCGGGGGCGGGGACAGAGGCCCCGCCCACTCCGCCGTGAGCCGCCGAGGCTCGGGGGTTTTCTGGACCGCCCGGCGGGAATCGGTCCACCGCGCTGCCGCGTCTGGGCAGGCACGCCGGCTGTGCGGGGCCACGTGTCCTGCTTTATGTCTTTATTAAGTTTGCGGCTCTCAGAAATTATTTTGTTTATTTATTGGTTTCTTCCCTCCCAGACTCTATCAGAGCCGGGACCATGCTCTTATCACCACCTTAGTCCCGGTTTCTAAAAAATGCCTGGCTATGGGAGGCGCAATTATACGTTGAGTGAATAAAGGATCTTGAAGACCTAGAAATCTGGCTCAGTGGTTCTCAAACGTCTTAGCCTTAGGACTCGTTAACGCTTAAAAATTATTAGGACCTTAAAGAGCTTTTGTTTTTGTGAAAGCTATACGAAGATATAGATGGATAGACCAATGTGTGCTTTTTAAGAAATTAAAATTGGTAAAAAACTTACGACTTATTCATTTAAAAAAATCCCATTACAAGTTATCATTAGAGAGGGCACATCACATATCATGCAGTTTCTGGAAAACCCCACTGTACACTCATAAGAGAATGAATGAGTGAAGCGGGAAGTGGGTCTGACTCTTGTTACACAAGTAGTTTGGCCTCCGTTTTCCCCTCAAAAGATCCTACTTTGAGGTGGCTTAACTTCCTTTTTATATATATGTAGGAGTAATGAATTCCACAGAAGAGAAGCCACAAAGGTCACACTGCTATTACGGGGATTCTCCTACTGTTAGCCCGGGGTCATGTTCTAGTGTTTTCCCAGGAAAGCAGACATCCCCATTGGAAAGAAGGGAGCCTAAAAAGATGCCTGTTGCCGCCACCCCCTAGTGGTGGACACCTGCTGTGTCAAGTTTGGGAATCAGGGCCTTTCACTGGGCAGAAGCTAACCAGACTCAAGTCCTCTGGCAGGAGAAACAAGAGTGCATACACATATAGAAACATACATGTGGGCCGGGCTCGGTGGCTCAGCCTGTAAGCCCAGCACTTTGGGAGGCTGAGGCAAGTGGATTGCTTGAGCCCGCGGGTTCAAGAGCAGCCCGGGCAACTTGGCCAGACCTTGTCTCTAAATACTAAAAATAGCCAGGCAACAAATAAAAAATTAGCTGGGCGTGGTAGCACCTGCCTGTAGTTCCAACTACTTGGAAGGATGGCCTGAGCCCAGCAGATCGACGCTGGGGTGGCCGTGAGCATGCCACTGCACTCCAGCCTGGGCCGTCAGATGGAGTGAGATTCCAAATCAAAAAAAAAAAAAAAAAAAGAAAAGAAAAAAGAAACATACATATGGACACAACATCACATTTGGTCAGATGCAAATGTACTATTTGATGAATGGTGTGCTAAGTGATGTAAGGGTACAGAGGTATCTCTGTGCCAGGACGGACAAGGTGAAGAAAACGTTTTGGGAGAGGTTTGAACTGGAGGAAGGTGGGAGGCCCTCGCGGGCCTGGAAAAAAGTGCAGAGAAGCAAACCCCTACTCCATCAGAGTAGAGCAGTGATGGTGGCAGCAGACATGAATCTGGCCATATCAACTTTATTAGCCAGACACAAACCAGAGGAACCACACAGAACACATGTTCTGCTCATATTGAACAAACACTTATCTGACTAGAGATGGCTGTAAATGCCAGATATCTAATAAGGAACACACACACACACACACACACACACACACACACACACACACACACACACACACACTATGAAAGCATGCATTTGACCAAGGCAATTAGCTGTTTTGGAGAATTCCTTAAATTCCCTAAACTACTATATTTAATTCAGTGTAAGACATCAATCATCAATTGTATGATGTAGATCAACTTCAGATGTAAAAAAAATTACATCTCAGCCTGTAATCCCAGCACTTTGGGAAGGCGAGGTGAGAGGATTGCCTGAGCCCAGGGGTTCAAGACCAGCCTGGGACAAGTTGTCTCTACAATAAATAAAAAAAATTAGCCAGGCGTTGTGGCGTGCATCTGTAATTTCAGATATTTGGAAGGCTGTTGCATAAGGATCACCTGAGCCCAGTAGGTCGAGACTGTGGGCCATGAACATGCCACTGCACTCCAGCCTGGGTGACCGAGTGAGACTCCAACTCAAAAAAAAAAAAAAATTGTAGAATATTTCAGAATAGATGAAAAATGAAATTGAAAAACCCATGCCTAAATCTCAAGTTGTCTTCCATAGAAGTCTGATGACTTTCTTAAGAAAGTAGTTTGGGGGATTGATTTTGATTAATTGATGTAAAATTGCTCCACACTGAATCTTCTTGAACTGCAGTTGTGAGTGTAGTGCTGTGTGTATGCTTTTACCGCTTCTGAATTCTGCTGGACTTTGCCTTTTTTCTTTTTTCTGAATTGGAGTCTCACTCTGTTGCCCAGGCTGGAGTGTAGTGGCATGCTGCTCACAGCCACCGCAGTCTCCATCTGCTGGGCTCAGGCGATCCTTCCGCCTCAGCCTTCCAAGTAGCTGTAACTGCAGACGTGCACCACCATGCCCAGCTAATTTTTTGATTTATTGTAGAGATAAGGTCTCATTGCTTGGGCTGGTCTTGAACCCGTGGGCTCAGGCAATCCTCTCACCTTGGCCTCCTAAAGTGCTAGGATCATAGGGGTGAGCCACCTCACCTGGCCTGGTAAATTTGTTAAATTGATCTCATTACTCTATAGCTAGCCTTCTTTCTTTCCTTCCTTTTTCTTTTCTTTCTTTCTTTCTCTCTCTCCCTCCCTTCCTTTCTTCCTTTCTTTTTTGAGTCAGTCTTACTCTGTTGCCCAGGCTGTGTACAGTGGCACTGTCTCTGCTCACCACAGTGGCGGATCCTGGCTCACCATAGTCTTGACTTCCTGGGCTCAAATGATCCTTCCGCCTCAGCTTCCTGAGTAGGTGGGACTACAGGCATGCGCCACCACACCCAGCTAATTTTTGTATGTTTTGTAGAGAGAAGATCTAACTATGCTGCCTAGATTGATCCTGAATTCCTGGCTCAAGCAATTCTCCCGTCTTGGTCTCTCAAAGTTCTGGGATTACAGGCATGAGCCATCACTCCTGGCCTACAGACTTTTTTTTTTTTTTTGGAGTCTCACTGTGTCACCCAGACTGGAGTGCAGTGGCCGCTCCCGGCCACCGCAGCCTCGACCTGCTGGGCTCCGGCGATCCTTCCGCCTCAGCTTTCCGAATAGCCAGAATTACAGGCACGCGCTACCACGCCCAGCTAATTTTTTGATTTACTATAGAGATGAGGTCTCGCCAAGTTGCCCAGGTGGGTCTTGAACCCGCGGCCTCAGGCAATCCACTCACCTCAGCCTCCCAAAGGCACGGGATTACAGGCTGAGCCACCGAGCCCGGCTTACAGACTTTCTTATACTAATGACATATTATTCCAACTTTGTTTTTGAGTTGGAGTCTCACTCTGTCACCTAGACTGGAGGGCAGTAGCATGCTCACAGCTACCACAGCCTCACATGTAGTAGCATGCTCACAGCCTCTACCTGCTGGGCTCAAGTGATCCTTCCATCTCAGTCTTCCAAGTAGATGGAACTACAGGCGTGCACCCCCATGCCCAGCTATTTTTATTTTTTTTTAATTGTAGAGATGAGTTCTTGCTATGCTGCCCAGGCTGGTCTTGAATCCCTGGGCTCAGGCAATCCTCTCGCCTCAGCCTCCCAAAGTTCTGGGATTACAGGCGTGAGCCACCGCACCCAGCCTATTCCAACTCTTACACTCAGTCATTGATTAATTTTAATGTATAAGGATCTTTGTCTCCTTAGCTAGATCCTAAGAACCTCAAGAGTGGAGACAATTTATTATACCCATACCTACCTCTACAGTTAATTTGATTCCATGAACTTGCTAGCAATTGTTAAATTTGTACATAGGATGAATGAATTTTTTTGGCTTTTATTTTACTTTAAGATGAAGAGATCTTAAGTCTTTTTTCTTTTCTATTGTTCTTGTGTAGCTATCATAGGTGAAATAATTGGAATCACTCAATTCTAACATCCACAATAGTAACAGCAATTATAGCAGCCATTAATATTTATTTATTTTTATTTTATTCTATTTTTAATATTGAGTTAGAGTCTCACTCTTGTCGCCCAGGCTGGAGTGCAGTGGCACATTCGCGGCCACCACAGCCTCGACCTGCTGGGCTTAGGCAATCCTTCCACCTCAGCCTTCCAAGTTGTCCAGGCTGGTCTTGAACCCTTGGACTCAGGCAATCCTCTCGCCTCGGCCTCCCAAAGTGCTGGGATGACAGGCTGAGCCACTGCACCCGGCCTAATATTTATTTTTGAGTGTGTGCTATGAATGAGTCATTGTCCTAAAATGCTTGACAGGTGTCATCTCATTCGGTGCTTGCCAAAGGTTCTACTCTTCACTATATCTGACATAAGGGGAAACTGAGGCCCATAAAGTGTGCTAACTTGCCCAGGGTCACTCACCTGGAAAGCAGCAGGTCCTCCAGAGAGAATTCTGGTTCTTCTAACCAGCCAGGTCACGCTCTTCATTCCTGTACCATATTGTTACACCTACAAAACTCAACTCACACAACTTGTTGTCCATACATTGATAAGCCACACCTCCTCCATTTCCCATGGGGCTGTCTGGCATCTTCACGGTGGGGCAGAGTGATTACAAGTTTCCTCATTTGGGGAGGATCCTCATTCCTGGGGAGGTTGTTTTTTAGG